AGTCTAGGACATGCATCACAACCTCTCAGCCTTAGGGTATGAGAATGGGTTTGCTGGGCTGGAACAGAGATGCATGTCTAGGACATGCATCACAGTTTTTGGATGGAGACTCTCAGGAAAAAAACTTTCTAAAAGGCCATAGGTGACAACAGTGGTGTGTAAACTAGTAGCATGGCTATGGCCAGTCTGCGCTGCTTGACGTGGTAGAAGTCCCTGGCCCTGCTTTACACCCAGATGTCTTAATTTCCCTAATTCTGCCCCAAGCACTACCCCAAACAATATCCTTACACAAACCATAACATTGGCTCGATGAAGGGAACTAGCCCTGCAGTGGGACATACTGCTTGCATTCGTGCTCATGCTAACTCACAGATAACTTCAGCTTTGTGAGTAAATCTGGCTCAGAACACTGCGGATTCTGAAACCTTATCCTCACAATAGCCATGCCTATAATCAAGGCCCAGAGCTTGACTGAAGAGAACTTAAAGCACTAGTGCCTTTCAGCACAGCGTAAGAGTATGAGGTGTCAGCGCTGACCCTGATTCTGCAGGCCCTGCAGCAGCCTACGTTAAAACACAGCTCTGCAAACTTTCAGCTCCCGAGCAGCCAGCAGCCCTTGCCGTTTGCCCAGTGAATTAACCTCCACAGCAGAAGAAAACAGAAGAGTGCAGGCCCCTGGCAGCAACAGTCCTTTTCTGAAGTCTGTATATCCAGCAGCAACCTCAGTTCCTCAGCTCTCTTGGTCTTGAATTCTAAACCTCATCTTATCTCTCACCCTCATAATATCTGGAGATAGAACTAAGGGCCCATTCCTACAGCAGAACAGAAAAATAAGGGCGTTTGTGGCTGTTGGCACCAGTATCCTCCAGATCTTGGGGAAAAAAAAAAAAAAACCACTTTATCCAGATAGAAAATCCCTTGCCCACACCACACTTAGGTAGAGATGATCATTACTGATATCAGCGCACTGCAGTTCTTGTAGCTTCCATAACAACTGAGTGCTTTAGGCTCTAGATTTCCAAAGTCGAAACCAAATTCTTACCTTAACTGTAACTGTGAGACTTACATCTCCAGCTACAACAAAAGGAAAGCTCATAAACCTCTGGCCTTTATTGACTCCGGCCCTATTCCTAATACTGATGGCCTTGCAGAAGTCAGTACATCCAGCAACAATACAAGTTCTTCAAGACTTGGATTCCCCACCTAATCTGCATCATTGCTGTGCTGTAGACGTGGGGCAAGTGCTGACATATGAACACCACATATACACATGTACTTATGAACATCAGCATCCTTGCTCATGTTCTTGAGCAGCAGCACGGGATAGCAAGTTGGGATCTTCATGCATGCTGGACCATACTCACGCACTCCCTGTAGCAGGGCTGAAAAAAAGGCATTTTCAAAGACTGGCTTCAGTCCATGGCCAGCTATGCAGGTCTGCAGCAGCCAGCTGTGATCTCTAGATAGAGCAGATAGAGCTAATCCTAACCATCATTCCGACCCGCGTCTTAGTGATAAGAAATGTCTCATGCTTTTGAGAAAAGAGGGAATATGATGAGCTCCCCTCTCAGCTCCAGCCTTCTTTCCACATCATCAGGCCCTGCAGAGCCCTGCAATAACGCAACTTCCCAGCTTCCAGTAATCAGGTTGGCTGCTGACGTGTTAGATTTCCAAGCTCTATTGTAAACTGAACCCTGACAGCATCTCTGCTTATAACCAGTTGCTCATCCCTATGGTAATTACAAAGCATTGGCCTCACTTGACTCAAACTTCTTCCTAACTGCAGTTCTTATAACATCCAGCAAAAACAAACAAACAAACCAACCAAACCAAAACAAACAAACAAACAAAAGCCCCAGATCCTTCAGGCTTTGGACTCCCAAATCCTGGTTCTCAGTGTAACATCAGCATAATTGTAATCAAAAGACCATGCCTTACAGTGAAAGAGAATATTAGGTATGGCCTCCTATAAGGCTCACTGACTTCCTGTACCTGCAGGCCGTAGCAACTGAGTTCCTCAGACTTCAGATTTTGGAATCTTAACCATAGTCTTCTCTCAAGGAATTCAATTTAACGAAGGTAAGATGCCTTGACTCCCTCCCTCTTCTTATCTCAATGAGCCCTATAGTCTATTCATTACCTTTAGTTAGCTGTAGGGGATACAGCAATATCATCCTGCTTTGATGATCCAGTTTGAGGGCATTCTTCTCAGTTTGTAGGTGTTTCTGAATTACCTTCTTAGTCAAGAGTCTTCAACAATTCCTGTTTATCAGTAGTGGGGTCTGTGAGCAGTAGATCTTTCTCCATTTTCTTCAGACCTCAAGTCTGTATTTGTCAATAAATTAAGAAAGAGGCCAGTCAGGCTTCTACTGTGTGTCCTGTTGTACCGGCTGGGAGAGTCTGACATGCAGGGAAATGCCGTAGCCACTCCATCTGCTCTGCAAATCCTTCTCCATACCTACATTCCCTTTCTCCTCTTCATGCAACGTGACTTTAAGCCTCCTTTTAGGCCAGATGTGTACTACCCAGGCACTCCCAGGGTCTTTCTGGAAGTCTTATTAAGAGACGAGTTCTGCCCAGTGCTATATTCCTCATCCCTTTTCCCTTCTCCATCCTAAATTTGGCATGATGCACAGCCTGGGTGTTTCCTTGTGCAGCTTGTTTCAGAAGAGACCCTAAGCCTGACCCAGATTCTTTCCCTGGGCCTCATCTGAAGTTCCTCTGCAGATCTGGCTCCATTAATCTCAAGTGATGTGGCAGCTCAGAGCTACTAAGTTTATAGGAAACTGCTCTCCTACCTCTTGCTTAGCACTAAATTGAATGTGGTACCAATTCAAACAATTTTGTGCTCTGTTACACCCATCCTTTAGCTTAAACTGCCACCAGAGAAATCACACAGAGAAGTGGAGTAAAGAGCAAGGTTGTCTGCTCTGCAATCATTTAAAAAATCTTTTTCTTAGTAAACAAGATATATGCACTTACACTTTTTTCTCTTTTATTTTATTTTTTTTCCTGCAAATTCTCCTCTTTCTCCAGTAGCGTTTGAATCCTTTGTCAAACTGCAAAGATATCTGACAGCAGGAGAGAGGTAATTAAGTTTCACGACAACTGGTGTCTCACAGCAGAGGAGCTTCAAGTCAATGTTGCAACAGAGGAAAGCCTTCAACAGCTCCTTGTTCAGTTTTGTCTACCAGCTGCCTCCTCAGTACACACATTTTGGAGCCAGACACAGCATATGCTGTCTCTTCTCCAGTGTGGTGTTTACAAATTATGCAGCAGGGGGGCTAAGGAATTGGGGTAAGGAGAACTGTGTGCTCCTACTGTGGGCATGAGGGAGACAGCACGGCTAGGACTTGCCACGTGTGGGATACAGTCTTGAGAAAAGCTGACCACACTGTTTTTCATGGAACTTTTTTTTTTTAGAGAGAGTTTTACATGATTGTTACCTGCAGTTCAAACTGCCAGCAACAAGCCTCACAGAAACTCTGGGTAAAGCAGAGCCTTCAGCTGTTTTCACAGCACTTACAGAAGTTACTACCTTACAAATCATTATCTTCCGTAATGCTTTACTAAGCATGGCTAAGATGCTTGTGCTTTATGCAAGGAAGGGCTATGACCCCGGCAGCGCTGAGGACCAGCCATCGCGGGCACAGAGCAGCGGCTGCGTGCCAGGAGACGGGGCTAGCTGGACGGCACGGCGCAGCACGTGCGATGCCTGCAGCGTGGCCCTGCCGAGGCTGCAGCACACCAGGAAAGGCCTCTCAAGTACCTGGTGTGGAGCAAAATTCATGCCTAATAGTCAGCTGCAGCCAAATGGGCTCAAGCACAGTCACGTGTGGAGATTTCACCTGCCTCCAGTGTCATTTCAGGTGAAATGACCTACAAGGGAAGTTATACAAGCTACAGCCCAACCTCCTGGACCACCTTTCAAATGGCTCTTTCTACTCTCTAGCAGTGCCTGGAGAGAGGTAAGACACGATATTCTACTGAATGCTCTGAAGGAAGGAGAGCAAGTGGTATAATGCAGTCAGACACAACAGGTTCCTATGTACGGGTTCGTAGGCTTGCATTAAGGACATATACACTTTGCCTTTTACATTAGCACACAGTCTGTTTTACAGACAAAGCTCCCCAGTCAGATCTCAGAGCTGCTGCTCACCCGCAGGGGCAGCCGTGACAGCCACAGTAAGTCTGTCACTGGAGACGAAGCGTGTGCAGCACAAGGCAGCGCTAACGAGCTACGGAGGGGATGATGAGATCCTTTTACTTCCACAGTAAGGACATCCACTGCCTGTTAGTTACCTGAGACAAATACTGACGATTCATGTGATATATGTGGTCTAAGGTGCAGATCATACTATTTTCTCTGATGAACAGATTAGTACCTCCTGCCCTCCACGAACACTTTACATGGGTGTTTCTGGACACAGTGTTTTGTACAGTCATCGAACCCTTGGGACAGGACATGTGAAAAAGGCCCCAGACTGTGAAATATGTCAAAAATACCGATTTGCTACAGGGAAAGGGAGAAACAGAAGCACAATGGCATAGACTTATGCATCTTTCTGCAAAACCAAAAATAGTGTTCAAATACAGTTCCAGTATTGGACTAAACCACTTGTAAAAATCAACAAATTACTGAGCTGAACAGAAAAAAAATGAATATCACTGTCAGTCAAATGTCTGCACTCAAGGAAGTGTAAAACTGCTATGATAACCTTGTGTCTTCAACAGTATAGAATTCATTGGATTGATGTTTTGATTCTTTGCTCGCTTGAAATTTTACACAGAGGTGGTTCAGAATGACCTCAGTAAAAAAAAGAGTTTATAGACTTGGTTGTGGTAGTGTGAACATCTAAGTACCATTTTCAAACTGCTGACCTTCAGTAAAACTATTTTTAAGTTTTCCAAGTAGGGAACTCTCCAGCAATGTCAAGACAGTAGTTAGCAATTGATTTTCTTTTGGCAGTTTGCCATGTGGTCAGAGTGACAGACACCAGAACTCTTTAACACATTTAATGGGATTTTCCTTCCATTTACACTATCATAAATTACAAAGCATATTTCACTTCACAAAATAAAACCATTTCCAGATCATTTTTATGACAGTATTAAGTAGTACATAACCTACAACAAATAGTCCTGTACAATTCAGGAGGATCTATAGAAGTATTGGGTACTCAGACTATTTAGCATTTGCTCTGCAGTCAGGGTTAATCTATCTAGCCCTTAGTTATTTCTCTAGAAGACAACAAATTTACAGTAATACCCTTCACCTCCCTTCATTATCATAGTTACACATATTTTTCAATTTGAATAGAAACATGTGCTCCCTGAAATAATTCAGGAAACTGCATCACTGAGTTACCAAGCGTATGATTCAAACGATCAAGATGAGGGATTATTATATACTTTTTTTTTGTATTGGAAATTGAGTTTGGTAGTAAATTACACTGATTTGCTATGCTTGCAGAAACATCTCACGCTGAGAAAGTTTTAACATTAGGAATAAGTTGCAGTTAGACTATGAACTCTGTAGGGTCAATGTTTGTGAGGGGAGAAACATACTAAAATTTGGTAATAATTAAATTTACCAACTCCCACATTTCTTACACATTCTTTTTTTTTTTTTTTTTAAACAAACCATCAGGAAACACATTCAAGAGAAATACCTACATTTCCAGCAGTTTTACTGTACGTTTATAAATACAGAAACATGACAAAACATAGCTTGATTTTTACAGAAAAAAAATCCTTCATAATTAACCCAAAAAAGTGCTAACTTTTCAACAAGGCCAGAAAATATCCAGTGTCCCAGCATCACCTAACTTACATATTACTGCAATCCAAGAAAAATCTGGCATGTGAGACTGATACTACCACCAGGACTTTTGAAAATTCTCAATACCATATTTGACATGGGAGCAAAAAAAAAGAAAAAAATAGACAAAATACTATACATTTTCAGGAATAGCAAATGGCTAAAAGTGTACTATACAGTCTTAGAACGCCAGTGCCTAAAATATAAAGAAAGAAACCTAAAGAAAGTTGGAATACACATAGGAAAAGAATTCTCCTTTACAACATTTGCAATGAAAGAGGTATGTCAGGCTAATACTGCATTAGTGGTAATTGTTTTCAATATATCAGAGCAAAAATGCAGGAGAGAATTATGTGGAAAATAATCAATGCACCGCATTGGTTTATAGTTTGCTAAAATAAAATGCCATTCTTTCAGCTAGGTAAAGTAAAAATATCTTTATAATATAGGTTCTGTTTCACAATTGACATATATAATTATGTCTTATGGTAAGGGAAAATGTATAGCTGTATACAAGTAACACTGATTAAGTACCTTTTTGCTTCTCTAGCCATATTAAAATATGTTTCGTGTTTCTTAATAAGTTAACAATAAAATTGTTTGCAACTTCTCAAAACAAATATACATCTGAGGCAAGGCAAAAGATACAAGGTAAGAGGATTTTTTCTGACCTTTTTTCCCTTCTACAAAGAGGCATATGTCTATGAGACATAGGCTTTCCCTAAGCATTTTGGCATTTATCTGCAACTTTGCAGAAATTGAAGTGCAGCCAAGGAACTTTTCCTTTATTTTTTAAAAATTGTTAAGAAATGCATTTTTCCTTCAAACTAACTGTTTCAAAATAAATGGCTATGAAGATATGTCTCTATTGGTCTAAAAGAGAACATCTTCATTTTCTATTAAAATTTGCACGATTAACTTCTGGTACCGCATGTCGTTCAGAGTAGCAAGGGTACTGTCCTCTGGAGGTCTCATTAAAGTAGGTCCAAACACTATTCCCAGGTTTTCGGCATTCATAAAGTTCTCCTTTTCATGCAAAGTAACCCTAAAATAGAAAAAAAAAAGAAAGTAAGTCACTGTTTACTTGCCAAAAGAAAAGAACATATTGTATCTTTATTCTGTAGTCCTGCTTCATATCAAATATTGCTAGATAATGGCGTTTTTCAGTAACATTTTTTATGTATACTCAACTACTTCCTAACTATTTCCACATTAATACAATGCAATTGTGGTGGAACTGTATATTCCAGTTCATTTGAACACCCCTCCTGCAACTCTGAGGTGATTTGACCATGTGTTTAAAATCCTCAGTACGGACCCATCATTTCTTTTAACTGCCTATGACCCCCATGCTCCCAGCCACGGAATGTCAGCCTTCAGGGAACCTGTATATGGATTTTGGATTTGCTGGATACCTTGGGCCACACCAACAGGTGAGTTATTGCGCTACTCATGTACTTCAGGAGCAGGCTGAAACCTTCAGCAACCGGGAAATTCAGTTTGAGGCCTATGTAGATTTCTCTGTAGGCAGCCTGCATCCATCTAGAAGTCAGATGATTACAAATGCTGTCTATCCTTGACAGGGAACACAGCTACCTCTAAGAAGGAGCCAGGCTGTTTTCTTTCCCCAACACAGGCTTTGTAATGCAAATACAAGGAGAGATGGGCTACAAGGCTGCAGCAGGGACTGCCAGGGATTGACCAAGCTGAAGAGAAGTAAACCCTTAGGTCTACTGGAAAATGAAAGGTGTGCTCCAGGGTTTCATGTCAACAGCACAGCTGGCTCTCATGGATGTTCTAGCTTTTGTGTTCAATCTTAAGAGCGTTCTTGCACTGCAGTACAGAGACACAGCCCCAGCCTACACTGAGTCACTGAGGTCACGGTCCCCCCTGGACCAGACACCAGTAGAGCACAGGCCAATTTTGACATCTCCCTCCACAGCTCCTCTGCCAGGCTGGAGCACGTCTGGTACGGGAGGCAGCTCTCATGGCAATAGCTAGGACTGCCTCTGGCCATAGCAATTCTCAGTTGATAGCAGTAGACAGTGGATTTCCTCATGCCATCAAGGGAACACAAATAGACTGAAAGCAAATGAGGTAACCTGGGTCTTCCCATGTTTGCAAAGTCCAAGTAAGATTAGATTTTGCCTCTACTATTAGCTCTCCTCAAAGAGTGACTAGGAGAAGCACAGAAAAAAAACAGTTCTTGCTGGCTTTCATGAGGTCAAAAACCTACTAGTGTCCCACCACAGCATCTTCCAGTACATGCGTGCAGGGAGAAAAGGCAGATCGAGGCTCTGCCGAGCCCCTGCCACTCCTGCACACGTTAATAACTCCTTGGCTTTCCTTCTGTGTCCGTGTGCTGCAGAGATGCAGCTATGCAGTGATATGTGTCTCCTGAGCATGTACTTCACTGCACAAGAGGCTGTTCTTTCTATTACATTTGCTCCAATTCTGAGTAAAAAGTTCTCGGAAAGAGCATTTCTATTCGACTGAAGATGACTGCCCTGCAAGTTAAACTGCAAACAATTAATTGACTGGCAGGCACATATTTTATTGCTGATACCATCTTCTGCCAATTTTTCTTGACTAGGCTAGGCTATTCTTTCAATAGAGGAGGAAAAAGGGCAATAAATAGATCCAGGAAAGGAAATTCTTATGTTTCAAAAGCAATAAACAACTTATTGTTCTTTGACTGAGCTGGATTTAGCGTCCTTCTGCCTGATAAGAATTATGGAGTGCATATGACAAGAACTCGGTGCAGTTTCTTTCCTCCTGAAACACAATGCCAGTGCAGAGGCTGTGATCCTGCAGTCTCTACCCAAACAGGCTCCTTGACATCAGTGTGTGTTTTGTTTGTGCAGGATCTATGGGTTTGGAGTTGGGACTTGGTGTTTAAAACTCCTGAACAGCATGTTCTCAACTTAAAGGAGCTTTTCCTCTCTCATTCAGATCTCTCTGGCGGAGTGTCTGTAGGAACAGACAGGCACTTGATGCTGAAAACTGTAACTTGGAAAATCAAAGGAAGTCCATTACTTGACTTGCAGGTATCTGAGAGGGAAAGATTAATCAGCTCTTTGGATCTTTTTTGTCTCAACAGCAGTTCAGCTCAACAGTTGAAATGCCTGTTCCGTGGCTGTTCTCAGGACATGCAAGTACTGATCCGGTATGTGGCTCCCTGGCTTGTCCATAGTCTGCAGAGGCCTTCCTAAAGGCTGATGTGCCGATGTGGTTCATCCTGAGTTGTCCAGGCATACGTGCTGAGCAGGGGGGGATGCTTACACATCCCTTTTCTGCAGAGTCCAAAGAAGCTCCTGCATGCCCAGGTAATGTCTCATCAAAAGAAAAAATTACCCAGTGTAATGACCTGAGTCAATTCAAAATGAGAAGTCTCTGCATAATGAGAACCTGATTAAGCATGAAATGCATTTCACAGAAGATCTCTAATGCAGTCTTATGTGAGTTGATGTCTTTTTTTTTCCAGGTCAGTGTTAATAAGTCAGATCTGTCTCAAAAACAGAAAATACCCCACCTGTAGCCAGGTAGTTACACGCAATGGTACAGCCAAGAAAGATGATCAAAGATTTACTGTGACAAAGGTGGACAGTTTTATTTCTCCCTTACTCCCTTTTTTGTTGTTTCCAAGTATCCCATAAACATTAATGAGAGAAAAGGCACACATCTCAGGCAATATATCCTTAAGTGAAGGGCAGCTTTAAAATGATAGTGTCAATCTTTATTCAGCTTCATCATTCAAAAAGTTACAAGCAAGACTTAATGAAGTATCTAGATGCTCAAAATAGCAGAGTGGCCTTAGTGTGCTTCTGAAAAAACATCTCATTTGAGATGAGTGGGTGAGGCATCTTATCTCTCTTTGGTGCACTTCATAATTTCCCTTGCTATCTAGCTAACAAGTTTGAAAATATGGCACTAAATTCCCTTTCAAAATGGAATTTAAGCACTTTTGCAAATTTCATATTCCTTACAACTAAAGAAGTTTTGGAAAGTGAATAAGGCAGAGTGTGTCTGAAGCTGAAAGAAATATGAAATAACTGTTAATTGTCTGTATAGCTTTTTACTAGTAGTATAAAAATAGACCCTTCTTGATTCTTGGCTTAACTGTGATGTTAGCAAAGAACTAGTAAGAGGCAGCTCTTTCCTTTTAGGGTTATAGTTCAGGAGGACAAATCTGGAGATAAGGGGAGCCAAGAAACAAAGCATGATCAAATGACTTGCTACGGCACTTCTAACACATCCCTAACATAACTAGCATTCTGGTATTTTGCAGATACTATCTACCTCAGAGAGACGTGACAAATCTGAATTGACTCTTCATCGCTCACAGTGATTTGCTGACAGAAGCAGCTATGCTATATAGGCACACAGCTTCTATGCATTTACACAGACACAGCTTGTCTGTTCATTTGTAACCTAATTGCTTTAGTGGTGGTGCCCTAATGGAGCAATATTTGCACTTTCTGTAATCTCTTTCAAAGCAGAAAATTCATAAGCTCCTCAAACTTCTCTTGCATGCCAATTAACTCACTTTTTGAGATGAATCATTAGGTATCTAAGTGTCTCATAGTGAGCAGCAGGGAGTAACATCAACACTTCATGGATTGCTTCTAGTCGTTCATCAGGATTGGAGATTTCTATAAGACAACAAACAATTAATGACTTCACATTTGTAAACAGGCAGTAATTCAGGAAGCCAAGTTATTATTATGGAATCATTTACAAGCCATTGACTGTACTTGTAGGGCTTAATATTAAACTTATAAATAAGGAGCTTATCAGCAACCTTTGCAGTCTCAAAAAATAGTCCTAAAATTAAGCAACAAGTCTACCACTATGGTCGGCATATCTACCTACAGGTTTGTGTTAAGCTTCATACAGCGGTTAAGCTTCATAACTGCTTCATAATACTCTGCCTGGAATCAACTCTTTAAAAACTTGGATGAGATTACCTATTGTAGCCTTCAAAAAGAGATGGAGTGCAGGCATGTGCTTGGGAGACTGCTGGAATATACTGAGCTATATTAAAGTTTTGCTAGAGACACTGCAACATTATGTAAGCAAAAAAAAAATCTGAACATACTTAAATATGCAGGTATATATCAGTGATCTGTGATCACTGATGCTCCTTTGAGACTTTTTGGCAATCTTTCTGAAAATGTGAGCCAGGTTTACATGCCTTTTACATGAAAAATATAGATTCCTAGGCTATGAATTGAGTTAAGAGTTGTATCCGTTGCATGACTTTTAATGAAAAAAGAGTTGTATCCGTTGCATGACTTTTAAGCAACAGGCAACAACTGGCTAAATTAGAAGAATTAAAATCTTGACGTTTTGATTTTAAAAGGTTGGTCGATTGACATGATAGGTATTACTTCCTCTAACCATTATTATTGATAAGACTAGTGACAAGCAAGCACAGTTTGTCTGCAGGGAGAGGAGCACCAGTGGGCAAGAGAGGGGCATCTGTGGTGGTGGGTAAGTCAGAAGGGAAGGGGAGCCAGCAGAGACACACACAGTGCTGATCCTGTTGCCTGTCCTCGTGCCATTTCAAAAGCTCTCGGGACACTTTTATAGAAGCAAGCAGGCTACTTCTTAGAGATTTCAGATCTTCTAAATCTTCACCAATAACCTCATTTTGATGCAATTGCATCTGCTGAGTTTTCATGAGTGACTATCATCACGTGTGGTCCCGTGTGCCCCGGGGAGCAGAACCAGAGGCAAATCTCATCTTTTGCTCCCTTCCAACCTCGCCGAAGGAGGAGAATAATGAGCACTGCTGCCCTCCTTGAGAGCACGCACCCCTCGCTCGCTGGCCCTACGGAGATCAGTGCTGCCCCTTCCTATCCCACATGAGTTAGGTGCTGCAGGGTCCTAGTGGGGGAGGCACCCAAACTGTGCAGTGGGTGCTTGTGGGGTGCCCTGTTGTGCTGAGTCGTGCCTGACCGAACCAAAGAGCGAACACTTCCACTTACAGCCCCAGCCCAGGGCGAGGGGTAGCTTCACCAGCTGTATGGAAACCACACTTTCTGAAACTAATGAGTTATTTTTACCCTATAGATTTTTTCACATTGTTTTCACTTACAGCTAGTCCCTGCTGCATCAACAGTCAGGCAAGTTTCATGTGAGCAAAGCACATGGCAGGGAAGCAATGAACAGCACAGTGCCCTTGTTTCCAGTTTGCTGGCTTTTTCTTTAATGTAGGCATCTTTATAAATAGTATAATTAAAGAGCAGTACAAATTGCTAGGCAATACTTACTTGCTGCATCTATGAACTTGGAATAGGTGTCATAGGTGATCACAGGAATCGGTAAGTCTCTGAAGTAAAGCTTCAGTGCTCCAGCAATAATGTTTATGTCTGGATACATATTGGCAGAAATGTCAGCCTTGTCACCATCTAGAAGAGGAGAAAGGAATCTTTTTGAAAACAGTCTAATTCTGACTGACACAAGGGTAGGCTTCTAATTCAGATTTAGTGTCCAGTCTGACAAGGAAAAAACAAACTGAAAGCATTTATAAAGCTTAAGGGAGAATATATTGCTGAAAAATTGCAAGTATATGAATGAGAAATGGTAATTTCCTTAGCATTTAGTAAATAATTTATTTGTTCGTGTCTTTTGCATAAGCTGGTGATTATATAACTATATCCACAGTGTGCCACATATGATGAGTTAGTGTTGAGTGAAAAGTCATGCTGAATAATGTATGCCTCAAATTTGGCCCATTTATTACATGTTAAAAATAAGTGATTAATAGCTCGCTTTGATGTTGTATCTTTTATCTGCAGATCTCACAATGCAAAGCAGTATGAAGCACTGTTCTTATTTCAATTTGGGAAGTGGAAGCACAGAAAAATGACATCAATTTCCAACAGCCCTCAGGAGATCAGAAGCAAAATTGGGAGTAGCCACCAGCTTTTATAAGTCCTACACCAGTCTATTCATGCTGATGAGTCCCAAGGCCTTCTTATTATTTTCATATTCCTCTAATGTCTTCCTATTAATTGTTTGCAGTACAGATTTGAATTTAAACAGAAGTGCTATGGCATCTAGCTACACTAAGTATTCCGAAATGTGGACCACAACTTCATTTACATGAATATGGATAGGTGTAATGGGTGAATGGCTAAATGAATTGATTGTGCAACCAAAATGACATATATTTTGTTAGCCATGTATTGTAATACAGTAAGTCAAGCTCCTTTACAGAGCATTTTTAATCCCCAGTTTGAAATTTATAATTGATGCTAATAAGCCCTGGCTTGCAAGAAGTGAAATTACAAAAACTACCTGAACTAAAATGATTATTCACATTTGAATGACATTTGAATTTCTATTCTATCTTACACCTTGATGCCCACAGTTTTCTTTCTGCAGTTTGAGAAACTGCTGCCCTCCTCTGCTCTAAGGAAGGGAGCCTGTCCCCTTCTCGGGCCTGCTGTCGGTGGCCACCACTGAAAAGAGACCAGCACCATCCTCCTCACTGCCTCCCTTGAGGTACTTGTAGACACTGAGTTCTGCTCCTCAGCTCTCATGCCTCACTTGTACAGTGAAGGTAACACAACTCCCCTCACAGGAGGCAGCGAAGATAAAGACGTGAAAACCTCAGGATGCTGTGATAACTGGGCCACCCAAGGTCGGGCTTGCCAGAGCGATGGGGGTGAGCCTGCTTCACGTGCCAGGAGCTACAGGACGAGCTGGGCTCCGGACATGCTGTAAATGCACCCGTCACCTGCCTCACGCCAGCCAGCGCTTGTAGACATGCCCTGATGGAGACGGATGAGTGGGTGTGCTTGATGCACTGCTCCTGTGATGGTGATGAAGGCTTCCACAGCAGCGTTAAAACAGTTTATATTGATTGCAGACATTTTATACAAACCTGGGGCATTAATCTTGAAGGGATGTGTCCTGTCCAATGGGCACACATAATTCTCATTAAGACTAACAGCGCTACATGTTCTCATCAAGAGGAGATTATGCGCTTAAGTGTTTAAAACAAGCAGCCTTTCTTGATGCAGCTGAACAGTCTGAATACATCCATCAGCATTTAATTTAATACAGCATCAATAACCCCTAGGAGAATGTTTACCCTGTCCCAATCTTTTGTTTAATCCACACGTTCCAGGCTCAGCAGCATTAGTGCTATAAAGCGTCATGCAGAAAGCTCTATTTAATTGATGGACACTGAGCACTCAGAATGCTCCTCTGAAAACAGATACCTTCAAGGAGGCAGCAGCTGCCGCAGAACAGATCGAGTAAAGGAGAAGGTTGCATCTATTATCCAGGTCACCAGTACACTAAATGGAACTGTTATTTATTTAGCACTTTTACAAAGCAGCACAGCACGCTCCCTTAAAGGGGCACTTCAGCTACGGGAAACATACTTCAAACATGTCTCTCATTTATCTGTTTGCTTACTGCAGGAAAAAGGCAGCAACACCCGAGTCTCTTCACTTCCGAGACAAATATAGATCCACTGGAAACACCAACAATTTCTTTACAGTGAGCATAATGATAGGCCTGCTACAGTATTTCTATGCTTTTGCAGTAGGTAGCTAGGGGAAAATGTTTTCTTCCCTTCGGTAGATTTTGGATTGTCTTTTCTTTTTCTTTCATTGTCCTCCCTAAATTCATGGATTTGTATTGTGTTCAAACACATGTAAAATTCAGAGTACTAAGAAGGAAAGAATAATTCATTACAGGTAAAGGCATGACATATTTTACATCTGCGCTGACAGACTGTACGAACTGCTTATATTTTATACGGCATTTCCACACCTGTCTTTATAACTGTTCAGTACAATAACTTTCCACAGATGGTACTAAGGACTTTCAATATTACTGCAATGTCTATGTGTTGATGCAACCTTTCTTATACTAGGTTGCAAATATTTCGTTCATTTAAGCTTTATAAACTTAATTCTCCCCCAAACTTGTCGTTCTTTTCTTGTTACTTTAGAGTCTTCCAATATATTTTGTGGTGTTACGCTGAAGTATAGATATCTCAAGTCAAGGAAATTCTAGTTTCTGTTCAGTAAAGGTTTCAGCTAACTTTGGAAACCACATAAGTAGCTGAAAAGTTTAATAGAGAAGGAAATGGAATCAATATTGAATTCTTAAAGCCCAAGCCATGCCCTCTGAATACTGCATTACACTTCCACTTAATTTACTTGTCCCTAATGCTCTGTTTTTATTGTACAACCTTCTTCAAGCTAACATTCTTCCTTGTAGTTTTCCGTGGACTTGGGAATTGAGCCAGTTTTCAGGTATAGGAACGCGAGTAGGTGTTCGGATGCGTTCATATGTGCTATTTAACAGGGCAGTGTTTTCAGCAAGCACTGGTCCTTCAGTACCAGGCGGCCTGCGCTGGGGCTGGGAGGGCAGGCGGCCCCGCCACAACGGCACCTCTGTGGCCAGGCCGCACAAACAGCGGCTCATTGCCCTCAGGCAGCCGCGGCCCAACAATGCGCACAGGGAGCAACTGTTGTCCTACAGCACCGACATTCACAAGATTAGATAAATCCACATTATTCCTCTCATTTGTGTTATAAAAGGCACTAAAATGGAACATTGTCAGTGTGCGAGAGGGCCCAGCTCTCGTTTACAGTAGGGCCATTTACCCGTTGCTGGCTTGGGAAGGCAGCCTTCATTCAGACAAGAGGAAGGCCAACTTCTCCCAGCTTTAAAAGTAAGTACTGCAGCTTTATTGGACCCAAACAATGTGCTGTGGGCTACTATTTTTGCCCTGAGAGCTAACTTTTAGGTTAGGATGCTCGCCAGGGGAGACCATTAATGTTACTGCAAAAAAAGAGGTTGTCAGCTCAGATCTGCCTGGAGGGAGCAGCCCAGGATGAATGGGGGCTGTGCAATCCCCTCCACAGCACTGCTTGCGGCGGTACCGTGCGGTGACTCTCAGCCTAGGAGAACAGCCATATCCCTTCGTACCTCTTTTATCCACAGCACAGTTGCCTCCAGCCCTTAACTGTGTGTGCACGTTCACAACTGAAGCACCCAACTCTATTATAAAATATGTAGCCTTTTTCAAAGGTTGTTTCATTATTTGATGAAATCACTTAAGGAATTCCTACCCATGCAGCTGGATTTTCCTTGCCAAGGGGACCTGCATGGCAATCTGCCTCCAAAACACAATTATTCAGCATGGTAACAATAACACATTAGGGCCCTGAGGGTCCCAGAGACTGCTGCAGCAAAGGCTGGGGCCACCAGTCCCTGCCCCATGGCACCGCAGCCCCAATGCATATATAGCCTGACCCATGTATATGTAATGATATAATCTTTTTCCTAACATGACAGGTTATACTTGAAAAAAAACAAGTAGAAGGGAAGACACTCTTTATGGGAAGAGACAAATATTGACATGTCTTCTGAAATGTTGCACCTGGAAGTGTGTTACCGCTGCATGAAGCTCTGCAGGGCTTGCATATATACCTAAGATTAATCCTGTATGCAAAGATGGCTTGCATGACCAGAGCTAAGGTAATGGGCCAAATCAAGCCAGAAGGACTTCCAGGAGGGCAACAATGACTAAGAGGCGATGCTTAAATTATCACAGGTTTTCCACATGCTGTGCAGCTAATCCCTCTAAGGCTCCTCCGGGCTCCTGAGCAGACACAGTGCTGTGATCGAGGCCACACACGGATCGAGTCCCAGGCTGGAGTTCCTGGTTCTTAAAATCATAAACAGCTCATGGCATTATAAAACACTGAGTCTGCTAAAACAGAACTAAGACCTTTTCCCCGGTCCTATCAAGGCTCACACTTGAACGAGGGACCTGGACTATGTTGCTGGGTTGAGCAATCAACCTGTCACCAGAGCACATAGCTTTTCTGCCTGCCTTTAGTTATTGAGTATTTAATTATTCTTTCTAACTACAAAATAGCATTTTCTTCTTATGACAAGTATTGTAGTTTTATTTAAGAAATCAGAAATGACAGGCTGCTTTCTGGATTTCTGCATATATACCAGCCTCATTATCATGGTACTCAATGCAAATATGAAAATAACTGAAAATCCTAGAACTGAAAGCTTCAATAATTTTTTTTTTTTTTAAATTTAAAGTTATACCTCGATCAAAGGCCATTTTCACATCTTCAATGTGCTCAGTGAAGCCAGAAACTCTGTAGAGGCCCTCAGACTTCAAACCTGAAATGTAAAGTTCTTGGTAAACTTTAACAACCAAAAAATATTTATTCTCAAAACTAACAAACCTGTAGTAAGTGTAGGTCTAACAAGTATAATAAAAATATTCATGTCAATGTTAAATTACAGAGCATTTGAGGAAGAATCAAGGTAGTTTTAATTTGTTTTCTGAAGGATTAAAGAACTTTAAAACTTGCATTTTCTGATATTGTTAGGAACACAATTGATAATATCAGTGGAAAATAATGCAATTTGCTAATGCTAGAGCATGCAGTATTATAATGAATTATTCATTTTATCGGGGAGATTTTTCTGTATTTATCTACAATTAGGAGAGCTTTAAAGATCTTCTTACAGGTTGCTTAATGATGAACAGCAATGCAAGTCAGAGAATGCCTTCCTCCAGGATAACACTTGCTCCCAGCTTTGCTGTCACCACTTAGGTGGGCACAAGCGACGCACGTGAGGGAGGCAGCACTGGCTCTGCTCTTGCTCCGCTGCAGAGCTGCTCTCCCACGTTTCCCAAGCCCTCCCAAAAGCAGCACCGGCGGAGCAGGCTGTTCCCACACACAGTCAGGCAGATGGCACTTGTTTTAATCCAGAGCTCTTCCTAGACCATGCCCCATGTTATCTTACATCCAATACACTTTGCTTGTTTAAGAAGAAAATCAGCATTTTGAAAGAAGTGAATAGCTCCACAGCCATTAAGGAAATGGAGAGATGTTGAAGAGACAGTGGGCAGATTTCTCTTAATCAAGAAATGTACAAGCAGGTATTTATATCTCGAATGCAGCATAGCTTCCTGCTGTTTCATCCGACTCAGTAAAGCTCTTCTCTGTTAGATCCAACTACTCTTTCCATGTGTCCCTGCGATGCCGATATAATCCTGGCAGAGATTTACAGAGCAGTGCAGGGGATTTAACTATAAATCTTTGATCCATTTCAGGGGATGATGTGCGTCTTTGAAATCCCTATGGCTGGTATCAATGTGTTGCCATGCAGATTACTGCGATGCCATGAATTCAACATTATGAGATTTCTGTGCTAAAGCAATGACTAACTGGGGAAATTTGGCTTATTGGGTACCACGTCATACACATGTGCTATCAAAAGCAAAGATGCACGATCAGATAGTTTTGCTGCAGGGGATATCTGTGCACGGTGCTGCCCCGAGCAGTTTGCGGTGCAGCACAAAATGCCGCAGCCCATGCCCTCATTCGGCTCAATGGCTTCCATTCACTTGTGTTCTCCCTTCCTGGGTGCCCTGAAAGGTTATTAGTAACAGGCTTGATTTAAACTGATTACTCCGAAATTAGAAGTGTCCCTAGGTATGCTAAAAGAAAACAAAAGTAATGAAAAAAGACACGTAGCCATGAACTTAAAGTTCACTTTAAAGTTCACTCCTTTCAAAAGTGTAACATAATACATGTTTTGACATGTTTTTCAAGAAGCATTCCAGTAAATTGCATTATGAAATGCCACGATTTAATTTCACTAGCCGATGCAAAGCAATGTATCACCTCCTCTAGAAGAGCCCTTCTCTCATCCTCTCCAGCGTACAGGAATACACAGTTGTGTCCTACCTTGGCATATAATTCAACTCGCTTTTATTTCCTCGCGCCTGCTGCTTTTCAGAGCGCCGCGCGCCGCGTTCGCCCCAGGACAGCTCCAAACCCTTACAAACCTCTCGCTTCGATCTCCCGGATGCACGAGTCCACGACCATGGGCCGCGGGGTGTTGTGGGCCTTCACCAGCGTGGTCAGATCACAGCAGTACACGCGCTTGATCCTCTTGAGGTCCGGCTGGCAGTCGTTGGGCACGTACTTGGAGCACTGCTTGTGCACGTTCAACCCGCAGTCTGCAAGCAAGGGTTGCCAGGTTAGCCAATTAACACTAATTCGGAGGGAGAGTTCTTCCTCCAAGCATTAATTCCTGAAGTCCCGCTCCCCTCAGGCTGCGTTTCGGCATGGGCGGCGAGGCGGTCACGGCCTCGCCATCCTCATCTCGTCACTTTCCTGGCGACTAATTTACAGCTTTTTCATGTACATTTACAGATGGAGCCATTCAAAGCGTAAACACGTCTCTTACTTGCCAAACATTTCAGCAGCATTCCCTATAAAATAATAATCACGGAAAATTGGATCTTCACTACAAACACACCTACCCATTAAATGGAATTGGGGGGTTCTGTGTGCTTCTGCATACAGTGATTATTGGATAATACATTTTTGTTTGTTGAAATCCAAACAAATGTGAGCAGCTGCAGGCAGGATCCTCCCTGCACTGTTTTCAGTGCTCTTTCCAAGCAAGTGATGTTAAATGCAAATGCATCTGTCTACTTAGAGTTAAATGTTAGTAGTTTAATGAGAAGAAGTATTATGTTTCATACTAAATAAAAACACCTTTTCATAAGTTTAATATTTTATGTAAGGGAACAAATACAGCTCTATGCACCAGTGAGGGCCAGTTTTTACATGGATCACTTTTTGATCTTGCGCTTAAGATCAAACAGCTTGAAAAGCCAAGAGTTACTCCTCTTTATTCTTTTTCTTTCTTTTTTTTTTTACACATTCTTTGCCTTACCATCACTCATCTACAGGCAGAAAAGATGTTGCAGCAACTGCAACTGCACTCCCTAATACTTTACATTTCTGAAAGGTATTTTGATTCTTCAAACTGGTGGCTAAATTGTATGTAACAGTCATCTCTTCTACCCCCCAGCAAAGCAGATGTAGGGGTCAAATGTGCTAGGTGCCAACCTGAGTTCAGGACCCTGCAAAAGTTAGAGCAGGATAAGGTAATATGGCCACACAGTCAGCTGAAGAAAAGAATGAAGTTATGAAATGCATTTGGAAGGCACCAAATGAGATTTCAGGTCCTGAATCAAAACACTCACGAGCTAACGATTGCTGCATTCTTTTTCACACTACAACAAACACATTTAAAATAATTAAAAAACCATTAAAATGCTAATACAGTTCAGAGGCATCAGAAAACAAATCCTTCTGGGACAACGAAGGTCATATTTTTTGCTTTCACTCAAGGTGGCATATTTAAGGCTTGTAGCAACACACGGTATTTTTATAGGAAACAGGTGACAGGTTTTTTTCTGTTTTTTTGCAGACAAAGGCACTTTTCAGCAGCTGGTGGCTAAAAGATGACTTATGAAGCCAAGTTGCTGGCCAACATTTCCAGGCAAAAGCTTAAAGAAGGATTCACAGCCTAGGCCCAGGCAAGACCAAGGTGCCATCAGAGCGACGTTGGGGGGATTCCTGGCCCTGCTGGCACAGTCATCCCTACCCCTCCTGCCTGCAGGGCTCACGGGCTATGCATACGCAAGGCCGGAGGTGTACGTATAGCTGAGCATTCCCAGAGCGAGTTTAGGACCTACCTGAACATCTCACTCCCTGAGCAATGAGACCCCACATGAAGTTGGCACAGTATTCGCACCAGTGCGGACCTCGAAATGTGTGGACCTGTAATGCAAAGCGGGGGAAAAAGAAAAAAATGGGGTCACGTTGGCAGATGGCCTGACAGATGGAATGAGTAAAATGGATAAACAACAGAGGATGCCGTAGGAGTAAATCTATAGCACGCAGTGCCCACAGCTTTCCAAAGTCTGGATGAAATAAACCACGGGAACAGAAATTTGCTTTGATCTCCAAGTTTATCTTTCAACAGGCTTAACATAACAGAGGACTGGGCTGTGTGTGACACTGAAACCAAATCATTTTTGCTGGCCGACATTTCAGCTAGCAAAGTTACAGCAGAGCAGAGGAAACCAGGTTCACTAGTCAGAGGGTGAAAAAGGATGTAAAATCAACCACCCGATGGGCGGCTGTCAGTGCTTTGGCTTGCCTGGTTCAAGGTGAGCAGGGCAGCTCCAGAGGTTCATGCTCTCTCCAGCAACTCACTTGGGAGCGAGGAGGACGGAGGGACAGAAAATCCCTGCAATCACACGACCTGCTGCTTCTGAATGCACCCGCAGAGCTAGTGCAAAACCAATGCACGCCCCAAGCAACTCCACTGCGAATACCTGTGTGGTACTCGCAATGCCACGCGGGGCTTAACTATGGCCTTGGCGTTATGTGTGCATGTGTGCACAAGGACACCAACCAAAATACAAGGCCATCACTGCATCGAAGGAAACAACGGGTGATTTCTGCACTTATTCCAGGCGATGGCTGGGCATTGATCTGATTTTGCACACTTGAATCCATTAGGGGCATGGGCAAACTGCACCAATCTAGTGGGCAAACTGCTCTCCCACAGGCAAAAGATGCCGCTAGGTCCATTTTAAGTGCACCAAAGTTCATGTTGCTGCAGTGCACCTAACAGCAAATATGGAAAAAATAGACTTGTGGCAGGTGGACAGAGCGTGCTGATACCTCCGCCACGCTGTGCCACAACCCCACTTTCTCAGTGCTACAAGTGCTATGATGGAAGACCTTTTTATTTAAGATATACATTCTGGTAAAGTAAGCAGTTGGTTTTCATTGGGAAGGAGAGTAAATAGTGAGGCCTGTGCCTGTGTAAACGGACGTGGTATGAACTAGGTCTGGCCAGGGACTTAATTGAGCTTAGCAAAACATAAATCATGAGCACTCGGGCTGCTAATGCTTCCTTTTCCTTTTCTGTGTTTTTGTTTACTGATCCTGCCTGGTGCTGAGCGGCTGCTTCCGGCCGCTGGCACGGGGGAAGCAGCCGTTTCACTTCTCATAAAGCAATCTTCAGCTGGGAAAGGGAGGCTGCTGCCCTTCTCCAATAAACTTGGGGTCGAGGTTTAAGCCATGCGTTTGGCTTGCTGAACGTTTTAGCCCCATTTCTCTGCAGCATCACACCTACACAAGCCTGTGTTGTTAATCCTACGATCCAGAAAGATGAAACATGGTAACTTTAGATAGTCTTCTCTTTCTTATTTAGTGATAAAAATGTGACTTTTTGACTCAAAGTGCCTGACAACAAATTACACCTGATCCATCGCTCAGACAGTCTGTAATTATGTGAGTAAGCTTAAAGCAATAGTAATTCTTCCTCCCATTTGAGAGTAAAAGGTCAAAACTGGAACCTCTAGTTCATATTTATTTTCTGAAATAGTAAAACTTATATGCCTGGGAAAGAAAACTTTGCAGTGAACTTATATACATACACAGACATGTACATTACCGCTTCTTGCCTATTTCATAATTTGTGTTGCAGAGGAAGCAGCCTGAATTACAGGCAAGGCTTTTAGCTAGGGTAAATAGCAGTACTTAACATCAGCTGATGACCTGAGTTTAAGACATATGTTCTGCGTGACCTTCAATACAAAACTGGATGCAATGCAAGCCTATAGATACAATTATTTATGGTTGCATTTTTAGATTGATAACCATATAATTAGTGGGTCTGCAGCTGCATTTAACTGTGAATGGAAAGGATGTGCAGTGGGAATGGAGCTGCATCTTCTGCTTTGCTGGGATTTCCAAGACCCAGCGAGAAGTGGATGTTAAGCCTCATTCAGTATTTTTAAAACAGTCGAACACACATCACAGTTGCCAGGCTATCTGCGTCGTATTGACTCACTTAACATAAAGCATATTTCAGCAGATCTTGCTACAGCATATTTAGAAAATGGTAGCTCGTTATTTGCTGATTTCTTGGGCCATTAGTGGGGAAGAGCCAGCAGTGCTCAGGGAGGGCTCCTGCTGCGGCTGCTGACTGCCACCCTCCCCTTGCTTCCCCCAGCCCCGTGGCCCTCAAAGCTACCTCTACTCATATATTGACTTTAATTTCTCACAGCTCTGCTATTTGGCAGAAGTGGCAGGTTCCCCATGGAGACACTCTTAAAAAAAGCTGGTCTTTGTGGCTTCTGCTCCAGCTGAAACAGGGTAATAGCTGTTATCGCTAACTGAAGACGGGAGACATTCTTAAGTTTCTAGATGAAGGTAGGAAATCTTTTAAGATACAGTTTTGAACTAAGTCTCTTATTATTGGTTTGCCATTAATTTCAAAGAATTAATGAAAAAGTCTATCCTTTTAAATGCACTTGAATTCAGTCCAAGGCTTTGGGCATAGGCTACATGCAGAGCTATTTCATGGTAAATGGGAATTTTGCCCTCAAGACTGGACTCTTGTTTATTTTAAACAAGGAGAGGCAATGGCAGATGTCTTAGCATTCTGAGATGGATTTGTAGGTTTTGCCTCATCCTTTGTAACTGCATTATTATGCATGGATTGGGCTTGGATATTCAGAAAAATTATCAGGATTTATTTATTGTCCCTATCCCATTCTGCAATCTCAAGAAAGTTCTGTGTTTACAGAGCACAGGTTTGGGCTGCTTTGTTACAGTCTACATACAATTTAAACCGTTAAGAAGAATTTGCAATGAAATATTTCTTCATATATGCCCAAACGGATGTTTCAGACGACCTATTACTTAAAGGACACATATATTCACTGTAAGTAATATGTTCCCAGTTAGTCTTGCATTTTGTTTCTGTGTTGTCTGACTCCTAACTTTTTCACTCTGTTGCCTTTCAATCTTTCTCTAAGTCTTTCACTGGAAAGTAATTGCTTTAGTATACTTATCCTCTCTGCCGGCTACTGTTGAGCTCTCACATGATACGATGCTGCAGGTCTGCTTGCGTTGCCTTCCTGTGCTCTGACCTTGCTTCCAGTGTCTTGCCTCCAAACGATGGATTTATCCCATACCTGGTACCTCATTAAGTTTTTGTCTGTGCACGGCATTTTAAATAAAGAGTATTTACAAAGGCAGAAACTAAGACAAAAGTGAAGGAGCCCCAGTATAAAATAATCCTTTAACAGAAATAAACTAAAAATTGCCTTGAATTGAAATGTGTGTTTTTTATAGGAATCACATGGTGCTGACTTCTGAGTCAGTTTGGGTGTTTATCTGGCTGGGCTTGAAGACTCTTCTATTTGCATCCAAAGAAAATAAAGAGATTCTGCAGACTTTCACTTGA